AAAGAAACGGACAAGAAAGGCTGATATTAACTGATCTGAAACATCTCCTAAACATAGAAAAAGAAATCAACTCCCATTTGATACAAAATATAATAATGATGATAAAGAAGAAGAAGAAGAAGGCCGGAGCGTACAACGGCCGAAACGTTGTGAACATGACAATGAAAATGATGACAGCAGTCCGAACAATGTAAATAATGTAAATAATGAGAATACCTCATCTCAGAAATATAGGCAGATCCTGGAGAAAGCCAGAGCGTACAACGGTCGAAACGTCGTTTATATATGACAACGAAGATGAGGACAACAGTCCGAACAATGTAATAACTAAAATATTTATTCTCAGAAATATAGAGACATTCTGAAGGAGGCCAGAACGTACAACAGTCGAAACGTCGTGAATATGACAATAAAGATGAGTACAACAGTCCGAACAATGTAACTACGGTAATAGTGTAAATAATTACAATGCCTCATCTCACAAATATAGACAGATCCTGAAGAAGGCCGGAACGTACAACAGTCGAGACGTCATCAATAAAGCAACAAAGATGAGATCAAGAGTCCGAACAACGTAAATAGTGTAAATAATTACAATGCCTCATCTCACAAATATAGACAGATCCTGAAGAAGGCCGGAGCGTACAACAGTCGAGACGTCATCAATAAAGCAACAAAGATGAGTTCAAGAGTCCGAACAACGTAAATAGTGTAAATAATTACAATGCCTCATCTCACAAATATAGACAGATCCTGAAGAAGGCCGGAGCGTACAACAGTCGAGACGTCATCAATAAAGCAACAAAGATGAGATCAAGAGTCCGAACAACGTAAATAGTGTAAATAATTACAATGCCTCAACTCACAAATATAGACAGATCCTGAAGAAGGCCGGAGCGTACAACAGTCGAGACGTCATCAATAAAGCAACAAAGATGAGATCAAGAGTCCGAACAACGTAAATAGTGTAAATAATTACAATGCCTCAACTCACAAATATAGACAGATCCTGAAGAAGGCCGGAGCGTACAACAGTCGAGACGTCATCAATAAAGCAACAAAGATGAGGTCAAGAGTCCGAACAACGTAAATAGTGTAAATAATTACAATGCCTCATCTCACAAATATAGACAGATCCTGAAGAAGGCCAGGACGTAGAATGGTCCAGACGTCGTCAATAAGGCAAGAAAAATCCGAACAGTCCGAACAATGTAAATAGTGTAATTAATTACAATACCTCATCTCAGCCACACACACACACACACACACACACACACACACACACACACACACACACACATATATATATATATATATATATATATATATATATATATATATATATATATATATTCTTGTGAAATTTATTTTCTGATGAATCCGGATAAACAACTATAAGCAATTTTTAAAAAAAATGTTTTATACATTTACCAAATAATTAAACTATTTATTAGGACTATGGATTTTAAAAAATATTTTATTGTTTGTTTGTTTTTATGCTGATTATTCAATGCAAAAATTTGATGATGTCTGCAAAAAACCGTTAACTCCTGTCTATTGTTTAATAGATTTTTATTATTTAGAAACTTAATAATGTGCAGTTTCTCATGGAGGCACAAAGGGCATGGGTCATCCCAAGTTTTACAAGTTCTTGTTTTGTTTATAATTTTCCATTTTACTGTTTTATTCATTTCCTTCAAATGTCAAAAATATTTAGATAGAGATGTCTGATTTCTTTTATTTATATTGTTGAAAGAGCACTGATGCTGCCTCCATCTGGTTTTAAATTCATTCTTCGTAGACCCAATGTATATCATATTAGTATTAGGACTCTCAATGGATGAGATAGTACATTAGTATACCACAAATTTTACGCGGCATTTATTTTTCCAATGAGCAGTCTTCTGGGTTTCTACAATCACATAATTTTTCACTGTTTTTGTCTAATTTAAGTTCAGGGTTTTTATTAATACTATTCTGGCATGGGAGTTTGTTCAGGATTTTATTATTGTGTTTATTTATTATACTTTCTAGATTTTCAGTGCAGCTGTAACTCATTTTTAGGCTGTTCTTATTAAATATTTTACTACGTCTACTATTGGTAGGAAAGTGTTTTTCAATTAAAGCTAGGAATTTCTGTCCTAGCTTAATACTAACCATTTGGTTGAGCGAAGGGGTATACCAAATGATTTTTCTTTTCCTGTTTTTTTTTCTGGCTAGTACAATTGTTACTATAATTGATGTTAGCATTCTTGCATCCACTATTTATTAGGGCAGCGTTATAAAAGTTACTGTGTAGCCATAGATACAATTTATTTAAGTAAATGCTTTGGTTTTAATTAAACAGTATTAATTACATTTAATGGTTCAATGTTCGAGAAATTTCGTAGAAAATATGGGTTCTCCGACAGGAATCGAAACGGTATTCGTATCATTTGATCTGACGTGCTATACTATTTAGCTATAGCGAAGCGTCTGGTTTGCAAAGTTCAAATTACTGTTTTAAACAATCTTCGACGATTTTTGTTAATCGATCATATTTGCTGACGAAACGTATCTAAATGTAAACAATGACAACATATAATGAAAACATTCAGGCCGGTAACCGTAATTAATACTGTTACGTAACGTAGTAAAAATTTGTTTTCGTGTCTGCATTTTGAGATGAGCTCTGATCGCTTATTGAGTAGTTTGTTTCGGTCTGGGAAGTTAATTATGGCTATTTTCCCTCTAAGCAGAGTTTGCAGTATTTGGATTGGTTGTTGTAGGCTGGTGTTCTTTTCCTTATTTTCCATGATATCTTTGGTGTGATTTGCTTTTAAATTTTTATTGCGTTACTTAAAAATCAAAAACTGAAAAGAATAAATATAAATAAATGAAATAAAAATAAATAAGCAAGAGCAAATAAAATAAATTAATCTAAATGAAATAAATAGTAAACAAATTAACAAACCACTCCCGCCAAAACAACCGTTAGAATAAAATAGCCACAATTCAATACACTAACCACAAAGCATCACTGACCCGTATATATAAATAGCCGAGAAAAATACAATGCATGTGGTCTAACGATTGCGTTTAGCATGAAGCAGTACGTCACCTCTGAGTGTTGACTTCAATGTTCACTTTTATTTTTACATACGTTGTCCATCTCTATCTCCGATATTAGCAATCTTCACCTAATTAATTTAAATAGGATATATATATATATATATATATATATATATATATATATATATATATATATATATATATATATATAAGGACAAACGAAAGGTTACCAAATCTTCAAAAACATCTGTCGATGAGTAATTCCCATTTCTATGTTTATTCCTCGGTCCATTGATGAAGGACACAGGCGTGTCCGAAAATTCCGAATTTAAAACCTTTCTCTCCATGCTTCAGTTCTGTCATATGGTTAATAATTAATATTTAATAAATGTTTATCATACTGATTATATTGGTAACCTTTCGTTTGTCCTTGTTTTATTAACTAGCTTATCTATTTTACATGTAATAAGATGCACACGTCAGCACTTTTTGGGCTTTGCAAGTGTTAGTTGAAGGTGAAAGAAAATCAGTAATTTCAGGTAACTTTCGTGACCAAAATAAATGAAATACATCTTTCGACCTGTATTACATTTATTTTTCGTCTCGAAATTTACCTGAAATTGAAAAATGATATCCATACATGAAGATGAGGAAAGTATAGATCGAAAGTACTTGCAAATAAACTGAACATCTAATCAATTTTATAGTTTTTAAAAACAAAGATCGCGTCATTCAATGAGTGGTTAGTAAGTTAATGCTTTATTTAATATGTTAGCGAAGTGAATTCGACATTAATTACATTAACTTTATTGATTTATTTTTTGTATGACCACTTCTTTATAATATATTGTTGTGACCAAGTAAATGGTTAAAGAAATAACAAAACAAGTGTTACAGATATATCATATATTAACCATTAAGTACAACAGTAGAGTATTAAACGACTAGTGAGAGTGTCGGTTGACCTAGCGTTCAATCTATTCGACTGCTCCCCCAAAGACTTTTCTCCTACAAATCTTATAGTAGGCGGAAAAGTCCAAAATAGAATCTTCAGAGGAGGACACCAACATATATATATATATATATATATATATATATATATATATATATATATATATATATATATATATGTGTGTGTGTGTGTGTGTGTGTGTGTGTGTGTGTGTGTGTGTGTGTGTGTGTGTGTGTGAAAGAAAGAATTATAAAACGTCAGATTATAAATAAATTAATTAACATCTATCTACAGGGTGCAATGTATAAATGATCGCCATTTTATGTTTAATTTCGCACATGCGCGTTGCTTGTTTTTGATTTTGTCGACTGCACACTATAGTAGGTTCGACTGTAAGCAAAAGAACACCAAGACGCAATACACCCCGCCAGAAATTTGGGAATGGTATGCCGTAATTGACATTAGCGCCAGAAACTCTAATACGAACAGTTGGATTAGTGTAATGGTGGTTAAGAAGTTATTTGGGGTGATCGTTAGCGATGGCCTAGAGGAGGACTGCTGCCCTGAATCAGGAGGGTGGCTTCTGGAACGCCCATTGTCTGGGAACAGGACTCTGCACCATGCCACACGAACGGGAGAACTCACTCATGGCTGTTAGACAATTTCTGCGACAACATCAGCCCTTATATCTTGCCACCTAACTCCACTGACTGCAACCCCCTTGATTATTATGTGTGGGGTACAGTTGAGAGACCAACAAAACTCCTTGTAACACCAAAGATGAACTGAAGGCAAGAATTATGGCAGCATTCACCAATTTAAACAAGGTGATCGCCCAGAAGAGTCGCAAGAGATTCCGAAGTCTTGTGGAGGCCGTGGTTGAAGCCAACGGCAATTTCATTAATTTTCATTTCCTCTTTACTATTTCAAGATATTTTTGTTTAATTTTGGTAAATGTAAGATGTGAGTGTTATTTTCATTCTTAATTTTAATTTAGCCGACATTTTTCAATCGCGTCTATCTATCTATCTATCTATCTATCTATCTATCTATCTATCTATCTATCTATCTTAGTTTGTTCATTATCTATCTATCTATCTATCTATCTATCTAGCTAGCTAAGGCAAAATATACACCATTATGCAAATTAATTTAATAAAACCGTTTTAGTTTCGTTTCTTTCACCATACGGTCAGTTTTAGACCCACTAGAGTGACAGGGTGTAATCGATTTCTATTTTTCCTCAGATTAGGTCATTTGCAGTGTTGTGCAGTAATATGAATCTATTTTCGGGGTGTACGATGAAATTTGTTTGGCCTTGAAAAATATGGCGTCATCCGTGATTGCATCAGATTTTCATCACGCCCAGACACTATTGTCTCGACTATCGATTAGTTGCCCTATGGCCTTTGTCTACGATGGACGTTACTCCAAGGAAGCGTACGGAAATTGTAACGTTTCAAGAATACTATGGCAAGCCTTACCAGTGAGCAAATTAAAGTACTATAGACTGACCCGGAAACTGTCCCGATTTAAATAAAATCGAGAATATGTGGTCAATCTGCAAGGAACGACTTCGTGGAATGATCATACGAAGTACTAACATGTGCACTGGGTCATGTTTCATTGGGAAAATACGAAAAAAAAAAGAAGTAAATAATAACTGAATTATTCGTTTTGTTTCAGTTAATTTGCACAAGGGTGTAAGTGATCATGGCCCTCCACATCGTCCTCTATAATTTGCAGAAGGGTTTAAGAAATGTGTGCTCTGCATTATCCACTTATTTTTTTTACTTATTAATTATTATTATTCATTTTTTTATAGTTAGAATCTGTTACAGGTTTCTTTAGATTAGGTTATGACCTTGTTAGGATCGAACTCTGGACACTAAAACGATCTGCGATTAAGAATCACCTACCAATAATGCTGCTTCCCTCTTAAAGTATATTGATAAGAATGTCACAAAGCCAAGGAAATCAGAATGGATGAAGAAGATTGTGTTTTGGAAGAGTTCCAAGTGGGAATCTCTTACTTGTTTGAGCAATTACCGGTTGAAAACGTGCGCTAGAAACCAACATTTGGTACTAGAAGGAGTCATTTCAAGCACGAAGTAGAATGTTCTTTTTCCGCCTCGCAAATCGTTTTTTCCCTATTTTTTAATTTTCTTTTTGGCTGTGTTGATCGAAAGGTTTTCTGCGACTGATCAACGTTAAGGAAGATTTCTATTCCAAGGACTTCGCAAAAAGATTAAAATGAGAGAGAAATAGATAAATGCTCAGGGGGAGGGAGCAAGTTAAAGAAAGAGTAAGAAAAAATGAAAGAGGTTGAAAGACTGAGAGAGTGGAGGAGGAATTAATAGTTTAATAATTAGTTTAATAATTAATTGTTTCTACCTCGTAGTAATAAGACGTAATAGTCTTAAGTTGTTTGAATTTCTTAGATGAAGCATTGTCATTATTATTCATTTTTGATTCATCTTTCTTTCATCTTATTTCTCTTGCTTGTTTCCACCTCGTAGTAATAAGACGTAATAGTCTTAAGTTGTTTGAATTTCTTAGATGAAGCATTGTCATTATTATTAATTTTGATTCGTCTTTCTTTCATCTTATTTCTCTTGCTTGTTTCCACCTCGTAGTAATGAGACGTAATAGTTTTAAGTTGTTTGAATTTCTTAGATGAAGCATTGTCATTATTATTCATTTTTGATTCGTCTTTCTTTCATCTTATTTCTCTTGCTTGTTTCCCACCTCGTAGTAATAAGACGTAATAGTCTTAAGTTGTTTGAATTTCTTAGATGACATTGTTATTATTAATTTTGATTCTTTTCTTTCATCTTATTTCTCTTGCTTGTTTCCCACCTTGTTTAATAGTTTAAGTTGTTTGAATTTCTTAGATGAAGCATTGTCATTATTATTAATTTTTGATTCGTCTTTCTTTCATCTTATTTCTCTTGCTTGTTTCCACCTTTAATAAGATAATAGTCTTAAGTTGTTTGAATTTCTTAGATGAAGCATTGTCATTATTATTCATTTTGATTCGTCTTTCTTTCATCTTATTTTCTTGCTTGTTTCCACCTCGTAGTAATAAGACGTAATAGTCTTAAGTTGTTTGAATTTCTTAGATGAAGCATTGTCATTATTCATTTTGATACATCTTTCTTTCATCTTATTTCTCTTGCTTGTTTCCACCTCGTAGTAATTATTAGTCTTTTTTTGAATTTCTTAGATGAAGCATTGTCATTATTATTAATTTTGATTCGTCTTTCTTTCATCTTATTTCTCTTGCTTGTTTCTCGTAGTAATAAGACGTTAGTCTTAAGTTGTTTGAATTTCTTAGATGAAGCATTGTCATTATTATTCATTTTTGATTCGTCTTTCTTTCATCTTATTTCTCTTGCTTGTTTCCACCTCGTAGTAATAAGACGTAATAGTCTTAAGTTGTTTGAATTTTTAATGAAGCATTGTCATTATTATTTTGATTCGTCTTTCTTTCATCTTATTTCTCTTGCTTGTTTCCACCTCGTAGTAATAAGACGTATAGTCTTAAGTTGTTTGAATTTCTTAGATGAAGCATTGTCATTATTATTAATTTTTGATTCGTCTTTCTTTCATCTTATTTCTCTTGCTTGTTTCCACCTCGTAGTAATAAGACGTAATAGTCTTATTGTTTGAATTTCTTAGATGAAGCATTGTCATTATTATTAATTTTTGATTCGTCTTTCTTTCATCTTATTTCTCTTGCTTGTTTCCACCTCGTAGTAATAAGACGTAATAGTCTTAAGTTGTTTGAATTTCTTAGATGAAGCATTGTCATTATTATTCATTTTTGATTCGTCTTTCTTTCATCTTATTTCTCTTGTTTTTCCACCTCGTTAATAAGACGTAATAGTCTTAAGTTGTTTGAATTTCTTAGATGAAGCATTGTCATTATTATTCATTTTTGATTCGTCTTTCTTTCATCTTACGTTTCACCTTTTATTAAACATTTTAAGATCGTTTTTACATTCTACATTCATTATTTTAGCAGCTTGGAGCGCAAAGAAATATCGTTCCCAATGACATGTCAACTCTCACTTGTATCAATGAGATATTGATCAACATGGTTAGCGTCTTTCTTATTAAGTCTTGAATGCCAATTAAGTGAAATCATTCAAATTTTCTCATATATGTATGGTCTTTTTTTTTACTGGAATTTCGAACCTTTAATCAAAATACAGCCATGACGTCGAATGGATAAAGAAATGACCAATCGCTGTCTCCGTAAGGATCACGCGACCCCGGATATACAAGCGCCAAATTCAAAGAATCATCCCCCTTTTTTTTTCTCCACACTTTACTCTGGGGACACAGATATTTAAAAAAAAAAATCACTACCATCTAAAGATGCTGACCGTGAACTGAAAAATTCTTCTTCATCAAAAGCTGTTGACAAGACACGCAAACGCTTTTTCTTCTAAGCTAAGCCCTCAGATGCACATTATCTGCAACCTCTTTTTTTTTTCTCTTTTCTAATATGAATATTAAATATACTTTAATGGTATAGGTTCTTGTGTTTCTTTCTCTTCAAATGTTGTTGCCTAGTTTGTTTGAGTGTACACAACTTATCACAAACCCTTCATGAATTTGGGATTGTAACCGGGTGTAAGATTGTGGATATAATCACCACAATTTACGCGGTAGAGTCTAAACTATTTTATGATTTTAAACGCAGTAGAAGCGGACGTAATAGTTTTAAGATGTCCGAATTTCTTCGTTGAATAATGTTTATTGCTATTTTCCCTGGTGTGCTCTTAATTCAAAGCCAATCTTTTATTTCCGATTCCCCCCTTTAAATGTTATCATATATGTAATAAGTGACCCATACCAGGAAATATCAGATAGTCTGAATCAGATTTAATACCAGTTGGGAACTTTTTTCGGGGAGATGTTGATCTGTGGCTCACCCGAGGAGATACCAAAGTAGTCTTACGCTAGAGAATCAAAAGAGCAAGATGCATCAGAGGATTGACCTATGAGGTGTCCCCATAGCCACCAAGTGCAGATTCTTTCTTCAGTGGATATTAGTATCTGCCTCTTCCGACATGTAAACAAGGGGTTGGCCTAGCTGTTCTTTCGATGTGCATACGTGAGTCAACCAGATGACAGGAAAACATATAAGAGACTGACAAGTATACAAAAGCAATACTCTGTCCGGTGGCAAAAGCTCCTGGTATCGCCAGGGGTGGCAGTACCACCTTAGCCACCGAAACGGTATTATCTCCCCTGGTTGGTGGCTGACGAAGGCAGGGTGTTGCACGTGCTTTCACACGTTGTATGTAGAGATGGGGAAAGGACAGAGTCTCTCACATCCTTGTGACGAGTTCCACGTTCGGAGAAAGCTCTCTATTCATGTCGTCTTGGAATTTTGTAAGTTACAATGGGTTAGCAGAGTCATAATCGTGAAGCTATTCTACTGATAATTTATGACCACCGAGTTATTACTTACAATGCTGCAATGATGTTCACCCTGTACAAGGTCCAAGAGCCGCTCAAGGTAGAGGGTTACAGAGTAAGAGGCACCACCCCAAACAAGGTGATAAAGCCACTAAGACGCAAGGGCCCACCGGAAATGAAAGGGAAAGAAAAGACCTTTTCTAATCCTAAACCCAATCCTAAACAGAGAAACAAGGCATAAACCTATACTCCTGTTCATTGATTAATTTGTTTTTTTTACGGCTTATCAACCCTTAAAGATGAAACCTATTTTGAATTGTAAGGATAATTCTTTTTTTTTTTTAGAATATCGCATTATCATTTTTTTAGAATAACAACAATTTTTCCAGATGCAAGTATTGATATACTAGCACGCACTTCGTCTTCCAGTCTGGAGTCTCTGCTACTTCTGCGACGGTTTCGATGGAATGAATTTCTGGGTATGACGATAAACTACATCCGGCAGTAAGACCTGTGATCGGGAGATTGGAGCATTTGAGGAGTGTGGAAGCACTCCTTAATTGCTGGTCTTCCCTGACCTGGTGTGGTAACGCTTGTTGGGATCCCAGCTATAGGCAAATAGTAACCCTCATCAGAAAAACACTATGAATGTATATAAATGCATTTTTATAGTAAAATTACCAAC